CCTTTGTGCCTGGAGGTATGCTTGCATAGAAGCTGGAGTGGCCCAAGGCGGGAGAAGTGGGGGCCTGGTTCATAAAGAAACCAGAGTGTCCAGACACGGATCCAGAGACAGGAGAACTTGGAAGCTGGAAGGGTATATCTTGAAATGGTACATCATGCACTTGTAGATGTCTGATTTCTAAACCTTGGAGATCTTGAGCCTGCATATTGTCAAAGGAAGAACCAAAAGAGTGAGAGGAATGGTTCGTCTGGAAAAGTGAAGAAAGGGACTGATGGTAGGCTCCTGGGAAAAGGCTGGCGGCATTTGGGTCAAAAAAACTAGGATCAGTTGTGATAGATGATAGTGAAGGTAGTGATAAATTGTTTGGCAAGGAAGAAGCTGAAGATACCATGCCAGAATTGGCAAGAGAACTACTGTGATGGTTAATATGCAGAGGAATTTGACTGAATTGAGCAAATTGATTGAACGGTTGGTGTACAAAGTTGTCATTCTGGAAATGCTGATAATCCTCATACCCATGGCTCTGGGGGAGAGGTTGTTGAGGTAGCTGATTGTGGACCTGCATTGCAGGTTCACTTGCTGCATGATGGTCAGCTCAACTCCGGCTATGCTTGTTTGGGAACAACATATCAAATGCCTGTGCCTTGTAATCCTGGTCTGGATCTGACAATGTTGTGAACAAATTAAAGTTGGGGATTTTCTGCCAAAATCCATGCAGACGGTTGAAGATCTTGAATTTTGCAGTGATCATGCCTATAAATAATGCAAATAGTCAGTGGTATGTGCTACTCAAAGAAAAAGGCGACCTGAACTAACATAGGAACACACCAATTGGTCCTTTGTAGTCGGGGTTCCCTTCTAGTTGGTCAAAAGTAAGACCAGCTCCAGTATGACCCAGCATTATACAAGACTAACAGTATTTTTTCTCGAGTCTGAACAGAAAGTTATGAGTTGGCCTGACTTAAATAGATGTGAGGGGATAGTGTACAAGGCAATGTGGTTATCAACAGCTTTTGCAAACCTTCCTGGATTGGCTTTGAGAGTGCTGTGTATGATTGGATCCCTATCTCCACTGAATACAAACTGAGCTATCTCCCCATGTATCGTAACCTTGCTCGGCTTTGCCTGACCCTTCTTCCTACTCTCTTTGTTGGCATCTTCCTGGGAGTCAGAGAAGAGCAGATGTCGTTTCTGAACATTTTGTTCCAACCAATCCAGGAGACAATCTATCCGTTCTGATGTCCACTCAATGGTCAGGGGGCCTCCAGACATCTCATTCTTGTCAAATTTGTCAAGATTTTCAAGATTATTGTTGTAGTCGCTGGCAGGTTGAGTAGAGCGAGACATAGCGTGGGCGTAAATAGACTAATAGCTGTGTCTGATCAGTTCAATAATACACATCAGAATTTCAAGCGGAGTTAGCCCCATGAATTCTTTGGAAAAATAAATTCATCTATACCCAACCCTTCCTGGTAATTACTTCAGCTTCAGATGCTTACAAATCTCCAATTTTCTTTTTTCCAGGCTCCTGAAAATATTTCAGTGTTTACTTTGAACGACACTATTTTTATCATGGCCTTATGATCAACACAATTTTAGCATTTTTTGGAGCACTTAAATATGACTAATCACAGTGTAGGTGGCTGCACAGCAGAGTTGAGGACTTAGTAAAATTTGTGAGTTTTTTTATATTATCAATGCTAATTATCAAATCAAACCAGCACAAGGGCAGTGGTCTAATGGCTCAGAGGTTAGATTACCTGCAGCAGTTAGTATTTCCAACCATGTAGTCTCAAGTTCAAACCTTGCTCATGCAAAATATTAAAAGAGCAAAATTAGCTTATAAATTTACATAATCATGCCATTACTAAGTTGAATGTTGGAGTAATAAAATCTACAAACATCAATAAATATATATATACAAAGAACTACTCACAAAACATAGCGATCAATATAACAGGCTGTGACAACTTATCAACCAAATGTCATTTTGCGGCACAATAGTACTGGTAGCCTTATAATTCCATATCTACTTTGCCAGACTGATACTGCTGGTGAAAAACCTCATACTCAATCTAGGCTTATAAAGCCTTATAAATGTGATTATCAGCCTGATGCTAATTATACATATTATACACATTATAAGGCATTATAAGGCCTTATCATACTTTCACAAATTTCCTGATGACTGAGGCCACACCAGCTGCTATTGCCAACGACCCAAAACTTTGCCACTTCAAGGACACCATTGATGGCACCCATATTGCCTGATGTGACAACACCAACAAGATACTATCTTGGGGCACTGGAGCACAACACAGAAGCTACCACCCATAGGAATAGTGGTACAACTCATCAAGAGGGGGAGGTTGTCTTCATTAATGTTGGTATACACTAGGAGAGGACTTGCTGAGTCCTTCCCCATGTATTGCTCTTGTATATACTGTATACTATAATACATGAGGTACTATACAGCTGGTAAGTAAAGTTAAAAGTCCAATGCCCAGCATGTGACCAGTCATATGTTGAGTCTAGACACTGGTCAGGTGATGTGTCACGTGATTGATCATATGACTATGAAAAGTCTGAAAAGTAAAGTAAAGTAAATGGTCACATAATCAGTCACGTGACTTGGAAAATGAAGGTAAAAGTACAGTAAAAGTAAAGTGTAAGTAGGTGCTGGTGTGTCAATTGTAACAGGGAGCATGCTGTATTTGAAAAATTGATGCAGATGTAACAACTAAAGTTTTAATACTCTGGCACACAACAACAACAAGCAGAAAGGGTGATTGGAGGAGTGGATAAACTTAAGATAGGACCAAGTTGGTTGTTGGTAGACAACAGGAGGACTTGCTGAGGAGTCTCCTTGATTTATTGGGGTATATATACTACTACAGGTTTATTTGTATATATGTACTATACAGTTGATAAATATGGTGGCTAATAATGTCATAGGGCACAGCTCTTGTGACCAGCTCCACCCTGTGAAAGAGTTAGACTAAAAATACAACAGGTACTGTGCAGCATTAGAAAGTGGAGGTACAATGGGAGTCTGAAAACAAAAGAACAGTGCCGCATGGCACAAGTGTCCCAAAATGAGAAAGAAGGTTAAAAAGGAGAAAAGAAGTTGAAAGTCTGAAAACCATGTGTTGTAACAGCAAATGGTGCCTGGGTTGGAGGCTCGTCTTCAAGAGAGTTCTAGTGAGGAGTGAGGAAGGATTGCTGGCATGATGAGTGCTCTACTATGCTTTTTTATTTTTTTAATCAAGCTTTTGCCCGCAAAGATTCAACAAGGAGCAATTAGTGCTCAATCTAATGATACAAAAAGTCTCAAAAGATCACACCCCACGGTCAATCCTTGACACCTCCTCTGTCTTAGAGTATCAAATTGGACCATGGTTTCTTTCACAAGTGTATGTGTCATTAATTCACCCCTTCTCAAAGGATAGTGCATTGAGATGTATTAGAAAAAGGTGTGCTGCTTTGAAGGCCTCAACAGTCTTATCAGGAGGTACATAATCCAGTTGATTGACAATGTAGACAGCAGCCTAGTGGTTGTGCCTATTATAAGTCACAGATACAATGTTACGATTTCTACTCCTTTTATGGACTACTCATTTTTCTTACTGATTGGTTATACCATCGGACTGATGACTCATTCCCTTCACGTACATTTCTGTTTTCTTCCCAGACTACATTACCTAGTATAGTAGTTAGCCCGCAACAAGCAAACCTCCCCTAGATAGGACCTAACTCCTATCACCAATCTTATTCCCTATAAATACCCTTGTAACAGTAGTAGTATTTCTTTAATACAATTCTACACAGTTTACGCTTACAAAGCTAGACTCATAAGATCAGACTTCTACTCAGAAGAAGACCAACTCTCGTTGGAAGAACTCTACTCAGAACTATGTCCTCGAACTTGTCTTTGGATAAGTCTCTTTGAACCCTCGACAAAACCTCAGACTTTGTTAAGCACTTTGTGTGTAACATACAATTGTCCACCATTGATTAGTTAACATTTATTCAATTAAATTGGGATAGGTGTGTATATATATTATGACATGTATATCTTATAAGCTATGGCCCATACAGTATGTACTAGCATACTATCACTGATGCCTGTGATATTGATAGCATTGTTAGTTTGTGACTAGGGATGCCAAAGTTCTGTTCTGTTCTCAAACACTCTTGTCTGGACCCCAAACCAAACCTGCAGTTTAAGTGCTCAAACCAGACCGGACCTGGATTGAACCAACCAAATTGGTTCCAAGCTGTTTTCCTAAACTGAACTTTGGCATCCCTATTTGTGATAGTACAATATATACTAATATTATAAACTGGAGCTCATATAGTCAGTCCTACATTAATATAATCATTTCCCGCATAATAATACAATTAAGTCACGGATATGTATGCTTTGATATGCTCTGCAATACCATCCATGTTGATTTTCATATTGTAGTACATGTGCATGTGCATATAATTAATGTCCTTGGGCTTTCCATGGCCATCTTCATATCTGTGAGTGAGTTTGAATATGCATACTTTGATACTCAGCACTCAGTTCAAAGCTATATGGACACATGGATGGTACTGCAGTGTCACTACTGGCGGTAACACTGGAAACTAGATACACTAGGATGATAATAATGGCAACTTACATGGACATTCAAAATGACCTACAAAATACGGTAAGATAAGTGCTTGTAACAGGTTATAACCACCCATTTCTGCAGTATGATCACTGGGTATTTTTGATCTGCCTGCAGGTGTGTCAATCAAACTAATCAGACTGAGATCACACTGCTGAAGTCAATTACCAGACTGTGAAGTCAAACTCCAGTATCGGAAAAATCCACATTTGCGTATAAGGCCTGATAGGTCCCAGTAAGGCCATCAGGAGTTTGATGATGTGATAACCTGCAAAAAGCTGCAACAAGGTCTTTTTAGGTATCATCAGAAAAACCCCTTCTAGACCAGGCTGATTGGTGTGATCACAATTATTACCCATATAAATGGAAATAGCATGAACATGATAATATGGTTGACTGAAGAAGTCAAAGCAAATATTGGCCTGATAGCATGCCAGGTCCTTTACTTGGCGTATCAGGCATTATAGGGTATATTATGACCAAGAAGGTCAATTCACCACTTAATCAGAAAAGGCATGGTTTCTCTAGGGTAGAAAAATTATATTCTGCAGTATAGTGAACACAAAAGAACCATGCTAGTCTGTATGTAAGTCACAACACCATGGTAATTGCTTTGACAAGAATGAAGAGCTAGTTTCTGAAATATGGCTCACTGTGGTAATTGGTGGTAAATAAAAGTATCTTGGATGTTTACTTTACCAAATTATAGAACTTGTTTGCCTGTGATCCGGAATTTCTGTTCCATTTGGTTGGAAAATGTTGTCAGATGTAGGTTTGAGAAGTACATGTGCTGCCTGTGTGCGACTGTAAGATTGTGCAATAGTCATAATAGAGATAATACACACTAGGTATTGGGGATATGGCAGTTGTGAGAGAAAGCAGCAAACAGATGACCTAAATATGAAAACTGTTAGCTGTTCTTATATACAAGATGTGGTGGGTTTAGAGTAATACAATTCATCACAACAGATATAAAAGTTCAAATAATACCAGTAAAATCTCAAGTTTCTAACTTGAAGTTTTGAAAATCTAACCCAATAACTCAAACTCAAGCTTGTTCTATAAGCCATCATGACATTAGCAAAAACAACCAGCACAAGTGCCAGAGTGAGCTGCCTGAATCACGAGATGAAGGTGGAAACCTGAAAGATCCTCTGTGGCATCCTACATACTGTCAAAACTATTATAGTTCCCAGTCATCATCTCACAATAATGCAGCATCAGTGATTCTTGGTGGTAGCAAGCATCACAAAGGAAGCTTGGGTTCCAGAGATGAAAATCCTAAGGAGGGTGTAAAGAGTTATGGGCTAGCTGGGACCCAATCAGAAAATGACTCAGACACCAAACCTGAGTCAATCAGTGGGATTTGCAATGAACCTGCATCAAGGAGCCCAAGCATCATGATAGGATATAGCTAGGCCTGTCATGCTAATGAAAAGGGAATATACTGATTGAGCCAGCCATGGGACTAGATACCCATAAGTCCTGAGACAAGTCCAAGGAGGGAGGCAGAGTCATCTTCACATGCATTTTCAGAACTCACTCCCATAAGATGATATATTACCTCATTGTTTTCTCCCATTTCACTTTGGCTAGATAAATACAATGTAACCAAATGGGTGCAAAAACACCCCCCATTATAATTTGACCTCTTTTTCTGCCATGGTTGGTACAAAACACTTCTGGAAATGGTGGTGGTGCCCTTGTTGGCTATATGCCTGTGGTGTGTTTTATTCCTCAGATCCTTATTCCGACAATTCTCCTAATTCCATTAGCCTCAAGGCCCTAGAGATCCATCTGACTGCAATACTGCTGAAACTGTTCAATGGGCTAGTTTCAAGTGTGAGGTCTATCACAAGGTGTTTGAGGTGGCTACAAGGTCACGAAAGCCATGGCAAAGTAATGTCATGTGGTGATGATATTGACAGGATAATTCACACAGGCATACCCATTAAGTGTGTGATGGTGAGGAGGCTTGTGCTATTACAACCACCTGTGCAGCTCTTGCCAACTATCCTTGTCCAGCTTTGTTGGTTCATTGCTGCGACTTGAACCATGATCAACCGAGACTATGCAGCAGTTATATGTTGATTCTATCCAAGCACCAACAAAAGGGGTAAGGGAGAATGACAAAAGTGAGGGCACAATGTGCAGCGAGTGGCGACGTGAAAAATTGCCAAAATGCCAAAATGCAGAAAGTACGAAATGGAAAGCAAAGGTGAGTGTGACTTGATTGTCTAATAGAGGTGGTGCTGATCAGTCACTTCATTTTTGACCTGTCCATGGTACCAATTGACATGGGTGTATGACAGTGTACTGGCACTGATACCTGTGATATTGATAGCATTGTTAGTTGATGCCAAAGTTCTCACCGACACTTTGAGCCAAACACGACGGTAATATTATAAACTGGAGCTGGTATGGATTAACATACATCTTGATGAGTCGCACGGGTGGATTGAAAGTCCGGTGGTAGAGAATGCTGGATTGGGTTTGTTGCAGTCGAGCATGGCGCTGTCGTTTCCCCGCATGCAGTCGCTGCCATACGTGCACCGCAGACAGCCCACCAAGCAGCGTTTCTTCGTGCTCGATCTCTCCCAGGTCCTCTTCGACTTTGTCATTCAGCTCCTCCCCACTCCAGACGAAATCGCAGTCAAGGAGGACGTCAGAAAGCTCCTCGAGAGACTCATCCGCACCATCGAACCACACTCCCGTCTCCTCTCCTTTGGCAGCACCGCAAATGGCTTCAGTCTACGCAACTCTGGTGAGCCTACTTTCACCTCCTGGAATCCCCGCTGACTGTCCCAGACATGGATCTCTGCTGTCTCATCGACTCGGGGGAACGTCTCTCCTCCTCTGATCTCGTCACCATGCTCGCTGACCTCCTCGAGCGAGGTACTCTCTCTCTCCTCTCTTTCCCCCACCCACTCACCCCCACACAGAAACAAAGTTCCACGTCAAGCCACTCCCCCACGCCCGCATTCCCATCGTCAAGCTCTCCCTCGACCCCTCCCCAGGCCTCCCCCTCGGCATAGCCTGCGACATCGGCTTCGAGAACAGACTCGCTCTCGAAAATACCAGACTCCTCATGTGCTACGCCATGATCGATCCCACACGCGTACGCACCCTCGTCCTCTTCCGTAAGTCCACCCCTCCCTCCTCCCTCCCCATCTCATCCTCTCTCCCAGTCAAAGTATGGAGCAAACGAAGGTAGGCCGCGTGCACGTCCCTCGTTCACATGCTGATCTCCCTTAGGAAAATTAACTCGCCCTATCAGGGCACCCTCTCCTCTTACGGCTACGTCCTCCTCGTCATCTACTTTCTCGTACACGTCAAGAACCCACCCGTCCTCCCAAATCTACAACAAATGCCCCCCCTCCGCCCCATATCTCAGGTCCGTGCCTCCTTTGCTCTCACCACTTCATCCCCTCATCGCCTGCAGGAGGATACGCAGCTGGCTGGCTATAATACCTGGTCCGTCTCCCCCGTCCTCGCTTGTGTGTTGACTTGACGCCCCCTCCAGGTTCTTTGATGATATAGAGCTGCTCAGACAGCGCTGGCAATCCTCTAATACAGAGAGCGTTGCAGAACTGTAAGTCACCCCTCCTTACCCTCACTCTCCTCACTCACACCGGCACGCAGATTAATAGATTTCTTCCGATATTATTCACGCGATTTCTCATACAACACAGGTGTGGCTTCTATAAGAGCGGGCTTGCTCAAGAAGGAAAGTAAAGGGTGGCAGAATGACGTAAGATTTCTCTTTTTTTTTTCGTCTGCCTTTGGGTTTCCTACCCGGCGGTCTCAACAACACGCTGTCTGCCGTCTCCTTTGATTCTGCGATGGTGCTGACGAATGCTTGTGTTTAGCTATCTAGTGGGAAATATAATGATGCGAGAGAGAGGAATCGGTTTTGTATAGAGGTGCGTTGTGTTTGCTTTGCGTTCTTCATCCATACCCTTCCATCCATACCTTTCCACATTCACGTTCTCCCACACACCCTTTCACATTCATACCCCTCCTTGTTGCCACGTTTGATGCCTGTTACTGACGTGCATCTTGATTTTTCTTTTTTGTCATTTGCTAACATTTGGCGTTGGCGTTGATGTTGGCGATGGCGATGAACAGGACCCATTCGAGGCTGATTTTAATGTAGCGAGGTGTGTGACGAAGGATGGGTTGTATCTCGTGAGTAGTTTTTTTATCATTGGTTTTTGGATTTTTGGGATCTTTTCCACTCTTGCCCTCCTCGTCTTTACACTTACCTAAACCCATCCCGTCCGATTCAACTCACTTCTCCCATCTACCTTCAACCCAACCTCGACTAACATCTCCCACCCCCATCTAGATCCGAGGCGAATTCATGCGCGCCTCGCGCATCCTCTCCACCCGCCCACGCGCCATACTCGCACTCGCGCAGCTGTGTGAGGAGAGGAAGGAGGTGGAGGTGGAGGTGCGGGAGGGTGTCGGGATGTCGCCGACGGTGGTGCAAGGACAGGGAATGGGAGAGAATGGGACGACGGGCGTGCTGTTCGTCCCTCCGCGGTTGGCGTACCCGCCTGGGGGACGTGGGTTGTTGAGCGTTGCGACTGCTTCGACCTCGACTTTGACGGCTTCGGCTTCGATTTCAGCGCCTTCGACGGCGGCTTCGACACCTACGACGTTGACGCCATCGACTGCGGCTTCGACGCCGACCGTTTTGACGATGAGGGCCACTGGGGAGGAAGAAGAGGGGGAGAGAGCGCATGTGGAGTTTGATATACCGCTGAAGCGGCGGGAGTGGACGAGTGCTGCGCCGCCCATGGTGCCACCGCCATCGTCGTCGCACCTGCCACTGATCTTGGTGACGGTGCAGGAGGAGCAGGAGCAGCACAAGCAGAGTGAGTTTGGGCCTGGGCCTGGGCAGGGGTTGGTGGTGGCGAGTGCGAGTGTGCCGACTTCGACGGAGGCGAGGGCGGTTGGGTGCGGTGAAGATGGTCAGGAAGGTGAAGGTGAAAGGGAAGAGGAAGGGGAGGAAGAGGTGGAGGAGATTGCGCTCGCTCGAACGCCTATCTCTGCGATGATGACGATGCCGGTGGAGATGGCGATGTCGATGCGGGATGGTGTGGATGTGGAAGCTGGAGAGATAAGCGAGGGTGGTGTTGGTGCTGAAGCGGTTTTGCGTTCGCGGCCACCACCGCCACCACCGCCAGATTCACAACAGCAGCAAGAAGGGCAAGAAGGCGAGGGTACTCCCTCAAAGCACTCGACACTCGATCTACTAGAGACGACGCGCCGCGCGGTGTTGGCGTCGACCGGCGAACCGGCGCGGGAAGCGGCGCAGGAGAGGGAGCAGAGGAGGGGAGGCGGGAATCGGTTCTCGTGGCCGTCTACGCTGCCGTTGCAGCTGGCGTATCCGGTTCAGGTGGATGCTGGGGGCTCGTCGTCGAGTGCGGCGGGGGCTTCGAGTACGGCGGCTGGGGCGGGGGCGTCGAGTGTAGGGGGATACGGTGCGGCGGGGTATACGACGATAGGGGGATATGCGATGGCGAACCTTGGCGCGGGCTATGGTGGTGCGGCGGGGTATTCGATGGCGGGGTATGCGATGGCGAACCTGGGGGTGGGATATTGCGCGGCGAGCTATGGTGCGCCGCGTCATCATCCATCGCACCCGCAGCACGTACAGCAGTCATCGCACGCGCAGCATCCACAGCATAATGCTTCCTCGTCGTCATCGTCGTCTGCGTCCTCGTCGTCTACGATTTATTATGAGACGGAGGCGCTCTCGCGGCGGGGTGGTGCTGCTGGTGCAGGAGGAGGAGGGGTTCAGGCGTATGCGTATTACTCGCCTTCTTCTCCGGCGCCTTCGGGATCTGGGTCAGCGTTGGCGTCGGGGTCAGGGAGGGCTGTGGCAAGGACGGCTGGGACGACTGGGTTGGTAGCTGCGACGGGGTCGACGAGGACGGGATACGCACATGGTCATGGCCATGGTCACGAGACGCCGTTTATACCGCGGTATCGGATCCAGCCCTCGTCGTCGTCTTGGTGGGGAGGGATTGGATCGGAGGTGGGGAGTGGGAATGGGATGGAGATGGGAGCAGGGAAGGGGAAGGAGAATGGGAATGGGAATGGGAATGGGACGGGGGGCACGGAGTCGTCGATGTCATCGCTGTCGTCGTCGATCTCGTCTGTGTCGTCTGTGTCAGGATCAGGATCAGGATCGTGGGCGTCGGCGTCGGCGTCGTCATTATCGCCGTACCAACATACTGAGCATTCGCATACGCACGAGCACGAGCACGAACATTCATATACGCATACCCACTCGTATACCCACTCGCATACGCTGTCTACGGCTACGGCTACGACTACGGCTAAGGCTACGGCTCAGGTTCAGGTTCAGGCTGCTGGCATCCCTCTCACCCCTTCCTCGTCATCGTCGTCGTCGTCGTCGTCATCATCATCACCAGCGGGCGCTCGTTTGTCGCAGAGTGCGGAATTGGGGGATGAGGCGAGGGGTGGTGCGTCAAGGTCGGGATCGAGGTCTGTGTCGAGGGAGAAGGAGAGGTCTACGTCCGTGGGTGTACAGGGTGTGAGGGAGAGAGCAAGGACGGGGACGACGTTGTACGGAAGCGACTCTTCTGCGTCTTCATCTACGAGTTGTGCTACTTCGTTGTCTCTGTCGCCGTCGCCTTCTCTGTCTCTGACGCTGGCGAGTCGGCGAGAGGGGGAGGGATGTGGGGCTGAGGCGGAGGGGTCAGGGTTGGCGGAGGGGTCGACAAGAGAGGCGTCCAAGTCGGGTAGTGAGAATGGGGGTGGTGGCGTCGACATCGTCAATGAAGGTGATGAGAGCGATAACGTGGTTGATGAACCGACCACTGAGGAAACTATCAACTGTGAATCAAGTCATCATCATCATCCGCTCTCTATCTCAGAGCTCGGGCGGGTAGGGCGGAGGCGGGATGTGAGTGTCATTGGATATCATCGTCTGCTGCCGCCTTGCTGAAGCTTCAAGGAAACCCTTGCTTTTCTACATCCCTGCCGTTGTTCACTGTGTGTGTTTTGTTGCGTTTCTTTGCTACTTTTTCACGGTTTTTCGCAACCTGTCGTTTTTCGCGTTTTTACGACCTACCCATCACACTCGGTTTTCGATTTCGACTTTTTTTTTTTTTTTTTGGTTTTGGTTCCGTTTACGCATCATGAGCAGTGTCAGTTATCGCCATCATCATCTCAGTTGTCGCAGTCTCAGCTACCGCCATCTCCATCTCAATCACATTTACCCCCATCTCGATGTCCACAATCTCAGCTACCCCAGTCTCAGCTGCCACCGTCCTTTCCCCCGCCCATTCCCCCAATGCCGTTTTCGCAAATGGACGAGTTCGAGGTCATTGCGATGTTCTTCCCTCGCTATTCGTTTTTCTCGTTGATGCTGTTTATGCTTTTTGGCCATAGGTTACCGAGGAATAGAGTGATACCTTGATGGATGAGGAAGCGGCGTTGTCGTTGTTGTTTCGGTTTTAGGAGTCTTTTGGGCGTTGACGCTCGTATCTTTTTTTTGTGTTTTTGATTCTGCTTAGTGTTACTTTGTGATCTTTTTTCACTCCTTAACCTTAGATCCTTTTTTTACTATTACCGTTTTACTAAAAACCCGTTTGATGCTTTTTGCTTTATTTGCTTTGGATTCGGATTTCGACATTGTCAAGTTGGGGAGATGAGCATGGGATGGACTGTTGAGGATCGATTCTTCCGAGTCTTGCCCCCCGCCCCCGGCTTATATTTTGCATAGTTGCATAGTTGCACATCCGCATATCTGCATATTTTTTTTTTCTTTCTTTTTCTGCTGTGATTTAAAGTATTGAGGTGGAGCGAGTCTTTGATATCATTTGGCATTGGCATTCAAGCGAGAGCGAGGAGATAGGGAGGAGGAGAGAAGGAGACAGGAATGAGGGAGGGAGAACAGCAAGCCTGGGTCTGGATTTTACCCCTCGAAATAGTCGTATTCAATACTCAATACATACTCCATCAATCATACCATCATTTTGCTAATCCGAGCATTTTTACACACTTTTTGATAAGGCTCTCTCGAGTAGTTGTCTTTTTGTTTTAAAGAGAGAGAGAAAAAAGAATAGGAATGGAAAAGGAAATTTAGTTTGGCTGGTACAGGATGGGTGATGTTGGTTTGGTTTGATTTTGGGATAACACATACACATCGATATATACGTCGTTTGGACCGTAGTGCTACGCTTGATTGTGCAGTGCTGGATGGGGAGTTTAGATACTCTCTTGAAAGGAAGAAAGGAAGATGGTGATGGAGAAGATGGAAAAGTTATCCAGCGAAGATGACGTGGGATTGAGCGTTGCGCAGACGAACGAGCGATGACGACGACGGGACTACTCTTGCGCCACAAACGGATTGGCGATCTCTTCTAGGCCGTCGACGGGGCTTACTAGGGTGATGGTGGGTCCTCGGAGGACGGCGAGGCCTAGTGAGCGGGAGTGGGGCTCTGGTTCTGAGAGGGGTGGATGTGAGTTTGGAGGGAGGAGAGGGAGAGAGGGAGGAAGGGAGACTGACCGTTGATCTGTTCTTCGACTTCGTCCAAGACGAGATTCAGTAGTTGATCGTATCCTTTGAGGATTCCTACCACTGCAAAAG